CGACGCGCAGACGGGCTAAGTCGCGGCGTTCTTGAGGTCTCGCAACACTTACCAGGCTAGAGCCAGGAGATGTTGCTCGGAAGAGTCAAGAAGTTGTACTGCCTTTAATTAGATTTTGCGACTAGTCTCTAGTCCTTGCCTTCAGTGTCAAGGTAGGGAAAACGAAAAATTTAGATGGAAGTAGGGGAAAATTCCTGGGCCCGGTGGGAGTTGCAATTTTGCTGATCTTTTTCATTCCCATGCAGGCTCCGTGAGAACGGAAATGGTCTGTTAATATGAAACATTTCTGAAAATTATTTTAAAATAATTAAATTAAATTATAATTTACTTAACGAAATTATAATTTAATAACATAAATTGCAATATTATTTTACAAAATTATAATCCAATTTCATTATAAGTGGTGTAATAATTTATTGCAATTATTACAATCCATATAGAGAATAGCAAGTAGGTTGCGTATCCAATTGTGACTATATCCATATCTATGACCCATGGTTTCCGTTAATTTGTTGGAAACAAAGTTGCAACAAATGTGTATTAAATAAAAGAGTCTTCTGCAATTGGGCATATAATGTTCCAAGGCAACATGCGTTCGCATATAATACCGGATCAGCTGTTGGAAGCGCACGTGCTTTTGTTTTGGTGCTGTGTTTACAACTTGCGGGCCCGGAGGGGTGAAGGAAAGGTTTTACGCACAGATAAGGCAGCGAGTAGAGGCAAGCGTTGCGCGTGTGTGTTAGTGCCCGTAGCACGACGAGTCCCATGGTGGTGTGAGTCTTGTAACCGAGAACGCGCGAGCGCACTGTAGTTTATGCACAGCTGTTTCGTGTCCGTGCGTGTTGCGCTGGTCGTCCCCCCACATATACACCACAAGCGGTGAGTTGTATATGTTCGAATGTATATTTTCTTCTTTTTTTTTGTCTTTTGCATTTACTATTACATATATATATATTTTTAATATTCGCTACATCATTTTCTTATAAAACGTAGTCTTGTTCGCGCAATGTTGCATCTCGACATTTTCTTCGCAACATTGCTGCAGCAAATACGCGTGGTGCTTGAACGAGGTAGATGATTAATATTGCAACTATGTTGATTTTCGCCATGTTGCTTCACAACATTGATACAATGTTTCCAATAATAAAAGACATATGTAACCTTGCGACAGTGAGATTTTTCGCTGTCCGGCTTCGTATCATTGTCACAAGGTTACCTTCTAGAAACAATTTTAAAAATTTAATTTATAATATTTTATATTTGAAAGAGGGGTACCGAGCAAAGAGTGTTCGCGAGCTGCCGGCGGTTCCTTATCAGGGTGTCAGGTATCCGTCAACAAGGTCTTGCTTCTCATAGCGAGTCTTGTCGACGAAAAGAGATTAAAATATAATAGGCAGTGTTGCCGAACATTAATTAGGTTTTAATGGTTGCAGTGAAACAACTGAATATGTAACAATCCACCGTGGAAATTCCGTTTTCCGTCCCGGAGAACTCGATACTCTTTGCTCGTAACCTGATAATGGCACAAGGTTTTCTTGTTTCTTAAATCTATTTTCCATTCAAAGATTAGTCAGTTTATACATTACGGCAACACAGCGTAAGCATGGTGTTTCTTATTGTATGACTAATCCTTGATATGTTAACAAAGATTTAGTTTCGCATCCGCTGTAACTCAAAGTTGTCGACGGTAGTTCGTGAATTAGCTCAGGGAAAGAACAAGCGACGGCTCGATTCCTCTTTTCGTATTTAAACGTGAAGTGCAAAATCGTGAAAGTATAAAGTGTGTCTGTATAAAATAGATTTCCCCCCCCCTTTTTTTTTCTTTTTAATTAACTATTGTATTCCCACTTCATAATGTCCCAATCATCGACCCGTGCCGGGCAACATGCCTTCCTTCCCTCATTCTTGGGGACGCGGCTTCTTTTCGTCGATCCTGAAGGTCTTTCGGAGGGAGATAGGGCCCAATTGATGCAAGGGATGTTAGAGGTTCTTTCATCGAAAGGACGTAAAACAAAAGGCGTATGATTATGCATTCAGTGTTGATGAGGGAGAAAATAAAGACGAAGTGCGGGGACCTTCAGAATGTGCAAAGGAATGGTTGCGTGAAGTGTTTGCGTGTGTGCGTGCACAAAACATAATTAACAAACTAAGAAACTCCAAAGGGTAAGTGTGTTGACTGGTTTAGTAGCCTATTAATATCAGTATTATTACCATTATCATCAAAGCTGTTTCCTAATTTTCTAATTTCCAAAACAAATCTCCCTCTTTTTTTTAATCGGAATTAAATAATAGTAAGATGGGTGGATGTTTTTTTTTTTTTACTCGTGGTAGTTCTTTTAACAATTAGCTTTCTCAATAACCCTTTTCGCTTGCAGATTCATCGTCGATTTTAGTCCGTGGGTCCCGGCCAAGGTTCGGGATTCAGGAAGCTTTTGGGCTCTCGATCGTGCCCTGCGGCGGAGTTGCAATAAGTTACATTCCCGGAATCTTTGGTTCCAAGAGTACTCATGGAATGAGGAATTTCTTGGTTATTGGTGTCGCAGCTACTGGGCTCCGGTGAGAATGTTGCTTATTTATCGAAAAAAAAAATTTTTTTATATTTTTTTTGGGGCCGCTTATTAATTTGTAATTTTAGCACGACTTTACGGAATTATTGGTGGTATCCATGGAGCGCCCGAGAATTTCTTCCTTAGCCCTGTTGAAAGGTGCCTGGAAAGGCAAGGAAAGTGAGACGACGTAAGGGCTCTTTTGTTGTTTTTTTAGCATAAATTTGCGAAAATAAGTAAAAAAAATTTTTTTTTATATATATTTTCCTTCTTAGCACCCTTGCCCTAATGCCGAGCATTCCTCTGGAGAAAGGATATCAGCCGTTGCTGAGCGTTTTCCGGCTGTCCTTTCTACAGTGTCATTTCTGGAAGAGGGGCAAGGAGTCCAGGGTCAAGGCTCGCTGGCAAATAGTAAGTTGCCAAATCAGTTAATCCCTAGGACTGTTAACATTGGAATTGTTTGTAATTCGATTTCTCCTTCCCTTTTAGAAATTCAACGTTCCGGAATATGAGTCCTGGGCGGGGGTGGGTTCCGGAGGGATGTTGCTAGGTGCTCCTAGTGCAACCCAGTGAACATTTTTGGGACACTTGGTGACGTGTGGTTGTACTTAAAACGATTTCAGTGTTTAGGTTTTACGAAAATTTAATAAAATAAATGCTGAGAAGTGAATGAGGCCTTTGCTCTCTTGGGTGTAACACTACGCGAGAGCGATAGCCGGGTGCCTTGGCGTCGCGACGCCCTTATCTTGCATCTCAGTGTATGGTCAGTCCCGTAGGCGAATGAATTATAAAACTCATTCCTCTTACAGGAGCCTTCTCTCAACGTTTTTTTTTGTTGAAGCAATAAAAGGTGAAAATATATAATAACTGTGAATAAACTAATTAATAGAATTATTTTAATAGTGATAAAAAAAATTTTACACAAAGTGTATAACTGTGAAACTGTGAGTTGTGTGAATTAAACAAATTCTTCCCTTTTCTTTTGTGGGTCGTGATGGAGATGCAAGAATTAGAGTGCCCTCCGAAAGTGGAGGAAGGCCTCCTGAAAAAGGAATTTTCTGAGGCAGTGGATATCGTTCTAAGGGGTCGGGAGATTTGTTCCCTTTTACCGGGGGACAAATTTTTACGGCTGAGGGGGCGTCTCTTAACGAGACTGTTCACGGAGGGGATAGTGTCGGAGGGCCTGCTTTCCGTGAATGCGGAAAACATCCAGGAACATCCGGAAGACGTCGCCTTGGATAAAAAGTTTCGCCTAGAGAAGGCGGAGTTGGCGGTTCGGGAGGGAGAGGAAGACAGGAAAAATTCGCTCTCCAGAGGGTAAGTTATTCAAACAAAATTGTTCTCTTTTCCCCCTTTTTTTAATTAATAAGAAACTATTACACGGGTAAAACTGCTTATATTACTGGAATTATAGAAAATAATACCATACTGTTAAACATTTATGAGTTAATATCGATTTGACGAAATTTTATTTATTTATAGTTAATTATTATTATGATACATTATTTTCTAACACTAATAAAATTCTTCACAACAGTTCAAGTCCTTACAGAAAAAAACATTTTTTTTACGATCCTTACACAATTTCGATTATCTTCAAAAAAAAATTCTTTGCACACAAAAAATTCATTTCATCTAAATAAACCTGACTATCATCAAACAAATACTTACACGAAGCAAATAATTCCCCTTGAACCAACTAAACGACACCTGAATCAATAATTTAACAAATTTCGAAAAAATATCATTCAATTGACCCAAACAAAACTAAATATTAATATATATTAATTATATTATTAATAAGTATTTGATAACAGCCGGAAGAAGATCTTATGGCGACTCTACTACATGAAATGATCCACGTGAAGTGCTTCCAGCACAAGTGGGATGATAGCAATCACTGGCATTGTGGCAAGTCCGTCGAAGAAATGGAGAGGATAAATAAGATTGGGCCCTACAAGGTAAATTCCTTTTGTAAATTGTTTTGTGGAGCTCAGCTCAACTATATATTATCTCTCTTTTTTTTTTTTTAATAACTGTAAAGAGAAACAAACACTCTTTTCCTTTTTTTTAGGTGGTTCTTAGTCACGAGCTGCCGGAAAAGGTTTATGATAAGTTACATCCGCACGAGTGGAAATGCCGTAGTTGCGGTTATATTCTTCAGCTAACGACTCGCACAACACCAGGTCCAAAAAACCAGCATCTCAATAAAAAAATTAAAAATTCCGATAATCCCTTGTGGGAAAAATTGTAGAAGAAGATGCGAATAAATTTTTAGTATCTAAACTGAATTTGCTTATAATTTAACAGTCTCCTTCCTTCGAAATAATTGGTAATTATAGAATTTGATAAAACAATTTTGTTTTCCTTCTTCCCCTTTTTTTCTTAGATACGCAGTTCGATTTGGGAACTGGGAGGCGGCTCCGTACCGCAAGGAGGAGACGGCCTTGTGGTTCTACAGCGGTAAATTGGTCCGAAACGTGAGGAAAATATACTCCAGGACGCGATGGCATCAGGAGTATCGATGGGATTTGGAAAAAGCGGCGTATTTCTGTCGAGGGTTTTGGGCCACGGTAAGAAAAATATCCCCCTTTTGCTTGTAAGACATACTTTATTTTCCTCCTTCCCCTCTTAACCGTTTGCTTTTCTTGTAGAAATCGTTCAAAAACCCTCTGCTGGTCCCGGGTGATGTTTCCGGGTTGGAGGTTACCAGTCGGGATCCTTCCGACAGAAAGAAGTCGCTGGTTCGGTTAGTATCTACATGTATATGCAAGTATTTTCTTTTTTTTTTTTTTGGAATCGATAGTAAATTTGTACATTTATTCTTTCAGCCTTTTCTCCGCGTTGCCAAGGGTGGCACCTTACGAAGGATACCAGACCATTGAGGACATCCTTAGCCTGTCCTTCGTACAGGTATTCTCCTACGACCAGGAGAAAAAGCAAAAGATTTTCGGATTCTGACAAGTGGTGAGTGTATTTAGTTTTCTTTTAAATTTAACTGTTTACAAAACTTAATGGATTATAAAATCATGAGATCATCCATAGGTTTTGGTTTAACTATTGGTAATTAGTAATTTAAATTATTGATTCGTATTAATCAGCAGTTCTTTATGTTTCAGACCTACAGAGTGGAGCTAACAGAAGCATGGGAGTTGATTGACGAGTCCGGATTTTTAAAGGAGGTGGAGGAGGAAAAGGAACCGCGCGATGAAGAGGAGTGCCCCGAGCCACGTCCCGGCACGAGTACAGATTAGGGCAGGTGTGCCCGTTCCGTCGCTGCGCCAATTTCCCTCTTTTTTTTAAGGAAAAAAAAATTAAAAATAAAATAAAAAAAGAAAATCTCATAATTACAATTTTAAGGGTTATTAGGCCCTCTTATAATAATGACATTTCACTTTTTTTTAATAAATGAGTTTTTGCGTCTAATAAAATGCTTATTGCTTAATTATAGCGACCTTGTTGTGACTCACTCCATCTTCTTCCCCTTTTTATTTAGAATTAGTGTGATTTTGTTATAAAAATTTTAAAGAACATATATCTTAATTGAAATGAATCAACGTTTAATACAGTATCTGACCTTTTCTTTAAATTTTGATTATTTTGAATTTCGTTTTACCTTAAATGCTTTTATCAATAAGTGAAATATTGTTTTCAAAGAAAATGTTAATATTCAAGTTATAAATACTCAAATGTTCTTATCAAATTGCTAATCGGTTCGAGATTAAACGTTTACTTAGCTTCATTGTTGATCTTCGAGGTCGATCTTCCGGACGTTACTGATGATCAACAATGTCGGGTTGCTTTATGGTACACCTAGGAGAATTGGGGCGGTGCCTTCTCCCGACAGAATCTTCCTCGGCATAGACTTCGAGGATCAATGATCCTAATCCTTCGGACAGTCATCTGATTCTTCGTTGTTGTTTATCTTCGGTCGTTGCAGACTTTTGTTCACTCTGGTTAACGTTGTTTGTGGAGCTTGGGCGCAGCACATCTTTAACTTTCACTGCTATTTCCTCTTTGGAAGAAACTGGTCTATCTGAGGATGGTGTAATTACTTCATATAGTATTTCTGCTGTTGCTGGTTGATGGGTAGCACGGTCGGGTTTCTTTTGTGCTGGTAGTTCGAAATTACCACTTGTCCTTTTGATGTTCAATACTCGAGTTAAATTGTTAGAATTACCCTTGAGCAATGTGTAGCAAAAATACAGCATCATTATCATAAATAGTAGAATCAATCCTCCATACGAGCCGTACACTAGAATCTGATTTTCTCCCTTTAGGTGGCGTTGAAGAGAAAATTCCTGGAGTTGTTGCTCTATCTCGTCCAAGGTTTTGGAGTTGATCTCAAAAGTGGAGAATTTAGGTTCGATCGCGGTGCCAGATCCAAGTGGGATGTCAGACTTCTGCAGCAGGTGTCCATATCTTGCCAATAATGGCGACAGTATAGTAAGATTCAAGTGTAGCTCCGATTCGAAAATAAATTCCGATTTTCTAGCTTCGGAAATTGTAGCTGGCACAATAACGTCCCTTGTTTTTACGGAACATCCCGGGGCCAGTTTTAAGATGCCGGTACTTTGGAGGGATAATTTGGTGGGGCTGATAGAATGACAGGCTATGATCACAACTTCCGGCGCAGCGAAGGAGTATAACCATCCTCCTATGGTTGATAATGGTTCCCAGTGTGATTTCGGGTTGGTAGTTACCTTGATATTGCAATTCTTCAAGGTATGAATTGTTGGATTTATCAGCAACTGGGCTTCGCAGGATGGTCTCTTCTCAAAATCGTAGATTGGAGTACCCTTCAAACATGCGTGGTACGCGGCCGTGGCCTTGCAAGAATTCCAATCCGTTGCTTTCAATAAAAGGTAAGTGCGTTGATCCTCGTCGATGATGAGATAGTCGTATTCTGATTTTATATATGCTCTTCCAGTCCCATTGTTCAAAGAGTTTTGGACTGTTGGGAGCGAGTGGATTTTATAAGATTGATAGTTGTCTTTTTCTAGGAGTGGGATGTCCAGAAGGATTTTGAGTTGGTGATTTTCACAAATGGTTGTAACGACAGAAATGCGAATTAGTTCGTCAATGCTGATCCTTGGTCCCGTTAGAGGAAAATTGACATCCTTCAGGTTATCCTGGATCTCTCGCAGAATGGGTTCCAATTGTTCCGAAGTGATGAGGCCAGGATGGAGTTGGCCCTTCCTTGATTCGTGGACCGCATCCAACATCGTAACCATTGCCTGGTTCATTCGCTCCATTTCTTCCTTCGATGTTTGATGAACCCTGGCAAGTAGGGATTGAAGTTGGTCCTGCAAATTCTTTAACAATACACCATGTCGTTGGACCTGAGAATGTAAGGAATCCAACTGCGATCTCACAATATGTGTCTGCTTTCCAACCAGATGGGATAAGTTGGCCTGGGCCTCGTTAAGATTTTTGATGGCGGTATCATATTTTTCTCCATCATCATATGTTAGAACTCCAACTATTGGTCCCGCGATTTTTCCCAGAAATCCAAGCAGGGGAACGGATCGTCTTGCTCGTAACTGCGAGGACATCTTTCCAGGTGAGGTCATTTTGGTATTTTCAAGTTCTTCCACCTGGAATCGGAATTGTTTCTGCAACTCCGAGGCCATTTCCCATCTGTCTTCCCATTGATATTCACTTGTTAATTCTCTGCACCAATCTTCTTTAGGTTTTCATTGTTCCGTTAGTCGCTGCAGTCTGGCCTTTAAGTCGTCGAAGAATCGGCTATGTTTGCCGACATCCAGGAATATGGTGATCCTCCAATTGCTGACTGATCGTCTCACCACACCAATATATTCAAAATACATTCCACTACTGACTTCAAGTGGAATGTTTTGGTAGCTGCTGTAGTCGGTGGATTTGTCCAGTGGATCCAGTCCATCCTGCACCGCCAGTGCTGTAAGGCTGGAAATTAGGCACAAAGGGATGACAGTGCGGGTAAACATCTGGATCGATTTCAACATCGCTATCTGAAAATAGAATTTCGATTAGTTGATGTGTAGTTGAGGTTCAAATTCGAGCAACCATGACCTTGTCGCGATGTTTCGAAAATCGCGCGCCCTTTTCGTTTTCTAGGATCACATTGTTGTTTTCGGTGAATCCTACAATGGTAAAAGGACCATCTGCTCGTCTATCAAATTTGTTTGTTCGAACTTCCTTGTAAACGTAAACCTGATCTCCTACTTTAGCTTTTGAAGGCTTAGATTTCTTATCGTAAATTTGCTTTTACCTTTCCTTCGCTTTTACCAAATATTTGGCTGCAAGATTTTGTAGTTCATTCATTCGGGTAATGAGGTCCTTTAAATAGGAGCCATACGTTTCGCCTTCTGGACCCTGAGGCAGGGAACTAGGGGTTCTTGCCAAATGACCGAACACGAGTTCAAATGGCGTAAAATTCGTAGCCTCGTGAACTGACGTGTTATAATTATACATGGAAAATGGAAGTAGACGATCCCAATTGTCGTAGTCCCTTGCATAATGCTTAACATAATCCGTCAATTCAATATGGCTTCTTTCGAGTGCTCCATTTGTTTGTGGTCGGTAACCAGAAGTGGTAAGCTGTTTGACACCAAAGATCTTTTCTATTTTCCGCATCAAAGAGCTCACAAAACTTGCTCCTCTGTCCGTAAGCACACAGCGAGGTGCTAAAAAGACAGAAAAAAGATTTGTTGCCACTGCGTGGGCGATAGTTTTGGTTACTATGTTTGGTATTGGAACCGCAATACAATACTTTGAAAAATTGTCTTGCATTGTAAGGATATGCCGATTTCCGTTTGGGGTCGTTTGTAATTTTCCTACTGTGTCCTGTGATACCTTGTCGAATGGCATTGCTGGAGTGTCGGTGATCAGCATGGGTTCCCTAGTTCGTACCCTAACCAGTTTATTCTCAAAACAGATTTTGCAGCCACGAATATACTGTGTGACCTCGTCACGCATTCGAGGCCAATAATATCGCTCTCGAATTCTTCGGTAGGTTTTCGATATACCTTTATGCCCACCGATTAGACTAGAGTGGAATTCGGCAATGATCTTGTTACGCAAAGCTATTGGGGGCACTTCTATTTTTCCGTGGCAAAGGGCGATAGAAATATCACCACCGCGGAAAACTCCTGTGACAAGTTCTGTCATCTTTCCTTGTGGAATCGCGCCTAACAGATCTCCTGTGTTTGCCATTCTGCATGATTTTTGGTGGTCAGATTCTAAGGCTTTTCTTAAGTTATTTAGTCCTTTTATAACATCTTTCCAACAAACTTCATCAAAATGACACCTTTTTACAACAATAGAATAAACTTTGTATTTACCGTTTTGGGTGATATGAATTTGTCCTTTCAGGGGTTTACGGTCTCTAATCTCTTGGAGATCAATACATTCGGTAGCGATTAAGAGTTTAGATATCGGGTTTGTAGGTTCGCAATCTTCCGATATGAAATGGGCGTAATTGTCACGTTGGTAAGTCAGGGGTTCTGTCCATTTGTTTGAGACGCATTCATGAATTCTTTCTTTTAAAGGATCACGATTTTTAATTACACTATCACTTTCACTTATTATTTCGTTCTCACTTTCCGATTCAAGAGAAAAGGGGTCCAGGTAAGGTTCCCTAATGTCTACAAATGATCTGCTCAACAGATGATCAGTTAACTGTATGGAGTCCTTTTCTGTCTGAATTCTCCTTGGCTTCATAATGGATCCTTTCCTTACCACCTTCTCTTTTGGTTCGATGACATTAGTCCTGAAACGGGTGAAAGGGGTGGATTGTGCAAACGGTATTGATGAGGGTCCAGGAGTGGTGTTTTCGGGCAACGTCTGTTGTTCATCTTGTGAGACCTCGAATAATTCCGGTAATTCTTTGAATCGAACGATACTTCC